ACGAATCCTATAGGAATCCTCTAGGTCCTATATGGATCCTGTACGAACCCTGTAGAAACCCTATAGGGATCCCATGGAATCCTATACGAATCCTATAGGAATTCTACAGGAATTCTATGAATCCTATACGAATCCTACAGGAGTCCCATAGGAGTCCGATGAATCCTGAACGAATCCTATAGGCATCCTATAGGAAACCGAAGAATCCTATACAAATCCGATGCGAATCCTATAGAGCCCGTGGATTGTGAGAAAGTCTCAGGCGGGAGCCCTCGGCGTTGTTGTTGTTGTTGTTTTTTTGTTGGGGGGGCAGCCCGGGGCACGACCGTCCCTATTCAACAACAACAGCAACAACACAGAGGTAGTTCGCGCTCCCCTCCAAGAGGAGTTACCTCCAGAGTTAACACTTTTACGCAATAATCCGGAGTAAACACTTTTACGCAGTTGCCACCGAGAGGTCAACATTGGCCCAAACGATTATGAGTTTGATCGATATGGATTCGCAGCGGCTCATAAGCCTTCTAAGTCGGTTGGCAAGGCCGCTAAGAGGCCTCGAGAGTCTTCGAACAGGTGTTCTAATGTCCGCAAGAGATTCCCAACATGCTCCCGACTGATTCACACTGATTCATGTCCTCTCTCCTTCGTCGCTGAACTAGTCGATTGGCTCCTCTTGCCAAGGAGGCCCGCAGAAGCCAAGATAACGATGTCGAATGGAGGAGGCGGAGAGGACATATGATGATGGATGGTGAGGATGATGATGATGCTGATGCTGATGATGGTTTTGATGCCGATGACGATGACAGTGCTGATTGTTCGGAAGGGCATTACGACACTACGGTGATCCCACGACCCCTGATGACCACTAAGACGACACTAAGACGACCTCTTGCACCCGTGACGATCACATGGTGACCCCGAGACGGCCCGAATGAGATCGTCAACTGCGAGAGGACCCAATCACCTTGTGGCTGGCCCTAAGGCTGCCCTGGGACAACAGCATCAACCCCATGACGATCCCAGAGCGATATCACGACCCTAAAGCGACCCCAATATAACCCCAATGCGACCCTCCTGCGACCTCAAAATGACTCCAACGCGACCTCTGCATATGATATCAAGGCGTTCCCACGATGTTCCCGAATCGACCTGATGGCCCCTTTGACGAACCCGAGAGAACCACCCTCTGACCCGCAAACAACCCCAACACGATCTCCAGCAACACGGATTGGTTAACAAGGCCGCGACGTTCGAGGCCGTAAAGTCCTTGGAATGCCGAGGAGCTTCCAGGCGACAGGTTCGGTCACTCTGCACCCCTCGCTCTCCATCTCTCCCGCCCCTTTTCCTTTTATGTGTTGCTTGTGCTTTTTAATGCAGTTTCCATGTATGTAAAGACAGTTATCGCTCTCTTTATCATTAACATTATTATCACCTCTCGCTCCCTCTCTCTCTCTCTCTCTTTCTCTCTCTCTCTCTCCACGTCTTTTTCTCTTGCATGTATGGATAGGTGTGCATGTAAGTTGTGTCGAATGCCTCCCTTCATTTAGGTTTATATGTATATGTTATCTCTCTCTCTTGTCGCTTTCTCTCTCTCTCTCGCTCTCTCTCTCTCTCTCTCATTATGTCTATCTCTCGCTATGCTTTGTCTTTTTGTTTCGCTCTCTCTCTCTTTCTCTCTGTCTCTCTTTCTCGTCATCTCTCTGTCTGTCTCTTTCTCTCTCCCTCTAAATCTCTCGTTCTCTCTCTATCTCTCCCTCGCTCTCCACCTTCTCCACCTCGGCCTCTTAGGGAGTGCCCAAACGAGAAGAGTTAACTCTAGGTTTATCGTTTTGATGCCAGGTGGCGAGTTGCACGCGGGGACCACGGGGTCGTCCACGAAAAGGGTTTGATCTGGAGTTAACCCTCCTCAGGGTGGATCCCTGCGACGCTCGGCTTCCACGAGAAGGGTTTCATCTGGAGTTAACCCCCTCTCAGGGTGAATACCTTGATGCTCGCCCAGCGGAGGGTTAACTCCAGAGTAAACCTGTTTTAACTCCTGATTACCGCCTCTTCCTTTCCGAAAACCTCCTCCTCCTCTTCCTCCTCCTCCTCCTCCCCATCCTCCTCCTCATGCTCGTCGCTGGGATTTCGAGGAGCGGCGACCGCGAGAGACCCACGAACGCACCACGCTGGTACACTTCTCATGTCCCTCCTCCTCCTCCTCCTCCTCCTCCTCCTCCTCCTCCTCCTCCCTCCTCCTCCTCCTCCTCCTCCTCCTCCTGCTCCTCCTCCTCTTCCTCCTCTTCCCTGTCGCACCTCCAAACGCGTCGGCAGGGCGTGCCGGGCGTTTCGCATGAGACCTCCTCACCATTTATGACCGTGAAGCTTAGAATTTGAAACAGCTTCAAGGATGGAGGGCGGGCAGATCTCAAAATGTGGCTCTCGCCATGGCGCCGCGCATACTTATCTGAAGAATCTAAAAAGGTGTCAGAAGATCGTATGGTTGAGGTCTGGCACGATTCAGGATTGTCAGGATGCAAGAGTCACGTAGATTCGCGGTGTTGAAGTCCCAGGAGTGGTGTTCTGGCACGATGTACGATTGTCAGGACGCAACAGTCGCCTTGATTCCTGGCGTTGGATCCCAAGAAATGGCGCTGTAGCACGATTGAGAATTCTCAGACGGTTGTGGGGCACCTCCCGCAATGAAAACATATTCACGCAGGCACACACATATCAAAACGGAGTTTGGAAAGAGGGGTCATTGTAACCTCACTCATGCATCTTGGCTTAACACTGGTACTCATCCTCCTCCTCATCCTCATCCTCCCTCTCTCCTCTTCTCCTCTCCTCCTCTCCATCTCTCCTCCTCCTCCTCCTCCTCCTCCTCCTCCTCCTACCCCGCCTCCGTCTCCTCGTCTTAATATTGCGCACTACGATTATTATTCTTAAACTTGGTATAATTGGTATGATTATGGATTTCATGAGTATGGATATTAATATAATTGAAATGATGCTTATTATTACTCGGCGTAGTGTTGCTGTTTGCGTTAACTCGATTGATCCTGATAGTATCCTTATTAACAATGACCATAGTATCATCATTGCTAGTACTACAGTGGTAGTTATGGAAATAGTAGTAGTAGTAGTAGCAGTAGTAGTAGTAGTAGTAGTAGTAGTAGTAGTAGTAGTAGTAGTAGTAGTAATAGTAGCAGTAGCAGTAGCAGTAGCAGTAGCAGTAGCAGTAGCAGTGGTGGTAGTAGTCGTAGTCGTGGAAGTAGTGGTAGAAATCGTAGTAGTAGTAGTAGTAGCAGCAGCAGCAGCAGTAGTAGCAGTAGTAGTAGTAGTAGTAGCAGCAGCAGCAGCAGGATTAGTAGTAGTAGTGGTAGTAGTAGTAGTAGTAGTAGTAGTAGTAGTAGTAGTAGTAGTAGTAGTAGTAGTAGTGGTGATAGTAGTAGTAGGAGTAGTAGTAGTAGTAGTACGAGTAGTAGTAGTAGTAGTAGTAGTAGTAGTAGTAGAAGCAGTAGTAGTAGTAGCAGTAGTAGTAGTTCCCGTAGAAGCAGTAGCACGAGTAGTCTTAGTAATAGCCGTAGTACTAGTAGTAGTCGTCGTAATAGTAGTAGTAGTAGTAGTAGTAGTAGTAGTAGTAGTAGTAGTAGTAGTAGTAGTGGTCGTCGTAGTAGTCGTAGACGTAGTCGTAGTCGTAGCCGTAGTAGTATGAGCAATACTAAAAAAGTAGCTGTAGTAGTAGTAGTAATGATAGTAGTAGTAGTAGTAATAGTAGTAGTAGTAGTAATAGTAGTAGTAGTAATAGTAGTAGTAGTAGTAGTAGTAGTAGTAGTAGTAGTAGTGGTGGTAATTTGAAGGTTATCATTAGTCTCGGCATTGTTCTTCCCATTCTTAGTAGCACGAGTGTTCTTATCAGTGTTATTCGTATTAGTCTTCCTCCTCCTCCTCCTCGTCCTCCTCCTCCTCCTCTTCCTTCTACCCCTCCTGTTCCCCATACTGCTCCTCCTACTCCTCTACTTGATCCTCCTCCTCCTCATTGCCCTCGACGTCCTCCTCGTCCTCTTGTGTGAAGTATTCTTCATATTATGCTTATGAGTCATTATATGATCATTATTAGTATACAGATTCGCATGCCAATGTGAATCAAATGTTGCTGCTATGACCAATTGCATTAGTATGGTGCTTCTTTTTCCCCTCCTCCTCCTCCTCCACATCCTCCTCCACCGTTTCTCATTATTGATAACTCCTCCCTGCCACACCCACAGACGTGTTGGCAGGGCGGTCCCGGCGATTCGTTTGAGACTTTCTCAAAGCTTGGGAGTTGCAACAGTTGCAGGGATTCAGGGCGGGTCACTCTCAAAATGAGACTCACGCCCTGGCTCCGGCGCACTCGTCTCAAAAGCTTGCAGCACTTGCTGATAAGGATGGATGGGGTAGCTTTAAAATGTTTTAAACAAGGGGATCTCGACTTAGCGCCGCGCTTTGACAAGCTGGCAACAGTTCAAAGGAATAGAGGCGCCTAATTTTCAAAATGCGGCTATCGAATAGGAGATCATCGAATCCACTACCTGAAGCGCGAACATGTGTGACGGCTGAACGAATTGATGGCGGCGCTTGTTCGAAAAAGGCTCCCACTTAACACGTCCCTGAATGTCATGACCATGTGACCACGTGTGTTCACGTGGGCAACAGTTACATGGATGGGAGCGGCTCATGTTCAAAAGGGAGCTCTCGCTGGACACTCCGTTGCAGACAGGTTCGCGTTCCGCTTAACTTACTATACAGGTGCTAAGAAGTTCCTGTTCGACATGGGGTCCTGGTCTGAATGGCACACACCATCGGGTGAAAGTCTTTCAAGGTAGCCGTTCTCGCAGTGAGAAAATATGCAAGGAATTTTGAGTAGAGGACCTCCTACGCCTCGACATCCTTTTCTTCCTCCTCCTCCTCCTCCTCCTCCTCCTCCTCCTCCTCCTCCACCCCATCGACTATCTCCAGGGCCGCCCCCCCCGAACCCGCGCCTAGGGTCTAGACGCGCGGGGCTATAGCCTGATCAAATCGGGCCGCGAGCCGAGAGGAGGCTGCGAGGAGCTCAGTGCGCAGGGCTCTCGCGCGCGCGCTCGCGCCCGTGCGCGCCAGCAGGGAATCGAGGAGGAGGAGGAGGAGGAGGAGGAGGAGGAGGAGGAGTAGGATGAGGACAAACAAGAAAAGGAGGAAGAAAAGGAGGAAAAGGAGGAGAAGGAAAAGAAGGAAGAAGAGGAGACTCCCCCAGTCTCCGCCCCCCTCGCCCCTCGTCTCCCTCCCCCCTCCCCCCGCCCTGAGCACTCCGACGACGACCGAGGCCCCCGACCACCCGCCGTCTGTTCGCAGCGGCCCTCCCCCGCGGAAGGCGCCCGGCCCCTGAGGAGCCCGGAAAAAAAAGCACCTCCGGAGTGGAAGAAGCAGCCCTGCGGCGTGGAGGCCGGCCGGCCCTCCTCTGCTGGAGGTTCTCGATCCTCTGGGGAGTTCGGCCCGTGGCCCCCCTCGCCCCCCAGAAACGAGGGGGACAGCTTCACGACACAGCATCTCTGTGAAGCGATCACGGGCGCACTGCTACAAGAACATCTCTTGAGGTGGTGGCCTGTCAGCCACCGCGTCCATCAAACCACGAAGAGACCCAAAGAGCCGAAGGACAGGAAGAACAGGAAGAGAGGACAGATAGGGGAAACGATAGGGGGGACTCGCTCGGAGGGGGAAGCGTCGACCTGGAACCGGCGATACATCGCCGACGGATCGGTGATTGGCCCCCGATGGCGATCCAGAAAGTTCCGGGACCCTCTCGGCGACGGATGGGCGATTGGAGATCGATGCATCCCCCCCTTAGCCTGTTCCCCCCTTAACGTTGCCCCCTGGTTCTCGGATCATAGCTCGGCTCACCGGCGGCCGCTCGGGACGGTTCTGGCACCCTCGGAACATCCTCGACGAGGCGCAGCTGATGGAAACCACCCTGGGATCGAAACCTCCCGAAGAATGTTGTTGAAGACTTCCGAAAATTCAGGAAAACTTGCAATAAATCCCCGCCTGAGCCTATACCCTCCCTAACGTTGCATCTTGCCGCCCCTCAGAGAGCGTTGTAAGGCTTCGGGTTGCGCACAGACAGCACCCCCACGTAGTCCCAGCAGGCCTCAACCTAGTCCCAGCTAGCCTCGACAGGCCCCCGAGTAGCCCCAGCTGGCCGCAACAGGGCCCCCCTAGAAGTCTGTGGCGGTCTCAGCACCCTGGCGCCACCTGCGGCGGCGCCCCAGGATTGGGGTGTTGAGACCGCCGCGGGCTATTCGGAAAGCCTGCTGAGGCCAGCTGGGGCTGCTCGGGGGGCCTGCTGAGGCCAGCTGGGGCAACTCGGAGGGCCTGCTGAGGCCAGCTGGGACTATAACCGGACCTAGGAGGAACACCCTTCAAGAACACGAGACCCTCCGCCGGCCAAAACACACAGAGCATCCGAGGGCACAAGAACATCCAACGAACACGAAGAACGCTGGGGCACCCTCCCCGAACCGACCTCGACCTTATGCCTCGGTCCGACCGTGCATGTGGGGGGGCCGCCTGCACGCAACCCGAAGCCTCGCCGAGCGAGAGCGGGACGCGTCTATCTCTCGGGGCGCACGCGGCCTCTGGGATGGACAAAAAACACTCGCGGGCGCCGGCGGGCGACGGCGCCCCGCGGCCGGCGCGCAGCCCCGCGGCCCTCGCCGGCCGATCACCGCTCCCCGAAGAAGAAGTACGGCAGGAAGTTCGCCACGTACTCGTCGAACTCGTCCTGTCGGCTGCGCTTTCGGGGCTCGGGGTTCGAGGCTGTCGGGTGTCTTCGTGGGTACTCGGCGGTTTGCCCACCTCGGGGTGCGGTCCAGCGGCTGCACCTCGCCGACAGCCTTCCTGGGGTGCCCACATCGTCACGAAAGGCCACTGCTCGGACCGAGCTGTGACCAAAAACCACCAGGCGTCCGAGACGGGGCCTTCTGGGAAGCCGGTGGGGCTTCTTAGAAGCCCTCTGGCCTTCTAAAGCTATCTGTGGCTTCCAGGAAGGCTCAAACAGCCTCTCGGAAGGCTGGAGGCCTTCGGGGCCTTCTGGCAAGGAAGGCCCGCCCCCTCTACCTCTCCCCCTGGGCGCGCCGCCGATCCTGGGGTGGGGGGGGGCGCAGGCGGAGGAGAGTTGGAGTGGTCGCACGGCGGCAGGCGCGTTGATATCCTCGGGGTAGGGCCTTGTCCGGGCCGTTCCGCTCCCGAGCGGTTCTCCGCGTAGCGCAGGTGGGGCCGCCGCTGGGGTAGCATGTATGCCCCGGCGAGGACGCCTCCTCTCGCATCCGAGTGCCCTGCGGCTGCGCGCGCGCGTGGCCCCCTGTCCGCGCCATTGTCTTCTGGCGTTTGCCTCCTCTGGCCGCGAGGATGCTGCGCATCTCGCTGTCGAGCAGAAAAAGGCTGGTTCGGACCCGTCGAGAGAGGAGCGCGGCAGGTGCTGCCCGCACTCTGCACCACACCTGCAGCACTGCCCTGGGTGTCCCGCACTCGGAGGCGCAACGGGGTCCGAAAACTTAGCTGGCCCTTCCTTTTCCGATGGGTACTTCTGCTCCGTGGCCCGCCTCCAGCGGGATTCAGGAGGAGGAGTAGGGATGTCCTGGATCAGAGGACGAGGGTTAGGTCGGGCGTGTCCACCTACAGGCATGCGGATTTTGGACGAAAAATTCAAAGTACTCAAAAAAACAACAATATACAACAATAGCCCAACAAGAATCGTCACCATAGTACTTTTGCACCAGTTTTGAGCTTTCCTCCTTAAGACGAAGGGGAGGACGCAGGAAGTTCGCCACGCGCTCAACCCCGGCTGCACGCCACAGCAGCCTGAGGCCAGGGGGGCGCTCTGGAGCTGCGGGCGAGGAGGCTGCAAGAAGTTCCCCGCGCGCTCGTCGGACCCGTCTTTATATTGATCGTGTTGAAGTACAACCATCACACTACCTGCTCATGTAAGTACATGTAGATTGCTACTTGATGCCCCTGTTGCTGCATTATCCTTTGATTGTACAAAGCAAAAGGGGGCGCCGCACGCGAGCGCGCGCCACGAACTCGGGGCCCACGCCGAGCTGCGCCCCTCGAGGGGCCCGCGCCGCGCGCCGCGAGGGCGTGCTCGCCAGGCCTTCGGGGCCCCCCCGGGCGAGCCGCGCCGTGCCTCGCGCGCGCGGCCCTCGCGGAGGGCCCCGCGCTACCCGCGCCCTCGAGGAGCCCCGCGCCCTCGAGGCGCCCACGCGGCGCCGCCGCGGCGGCGCGCACCAGAGTGGGAGCAGCAATCACGAACAGCTGATGGGCCTGTTTGGGAAGGAGGTGGGGGAAGGAGGAGGAGGAGGAGGAGGAGGAGGAGGAGGAGGAGGAGGTCCCTCCTTCCCTGCAACTTATGGTGGTGGTGGTGGAAGACAGGCCCATCAACAGCGCAACAATGGAATCGGAGTACTTTTTTCCTCGACTCGCCGACGCAGTCGTGATCAGTCTCGCTCCGACGAGGCCTGCAAGAGGTGCTCCAGACTGGGGCTTCCGGTGCTAAAGCACAACAAAAACTGGCCGGGAGGGAGCCCTGGAGAGGTCCCCGGGGACCAGGGGTCCACTTCCGAGAGGAGCTCTGGCCTCGGGGGGGAGGCGGCGGGCGTCTCTGGAAGTCCCGCAGAGGCGAGGGCGTGGCGCCGATCCCGGCATACGCGGCTAGTCGCATGTGCCCATGCCCGTCGAGGCAAGGCGAGCGAGGCCATTGCCTCTCTAACCTTGCCAAAAGCACACTCACGTGAGATCCAACGCGGGTTGTGTCGCTGGAAGCCCTCGGAGGCTGCTGAGAACGCTTCTTAGACCCCGAGCGGACTCGACCGCGCGCCAGGACACGCCGCTGCTCGATAGCAGATCCTCTAGAGGGCAGGCGGCCACTTGCGAACTGACTTGCAAGCCAGGCGGGCCCGCAACATCCCAGCCAGGCCCGCAATATCCAAGCAGCCCCCGAACATCCCATCGAGGCTCCAGGACCAGCCAGGCGCGCCGCATCGCCATCGAAAGCTTGGTCTGGCCACGGAAAACACTTTGCACGCTCTGGCAGCAAACTCTTGAAAGTGTGCCACCACGCCCTGCGGGTTAGTGAAGCGTCAGGTAGGTGCGTGGTTGTCTGATATGGTGTCTGCAGCTCTTCAAGGGCCCACCCTTTGTCGCGGGCCTGAATATCAAAGCAACATCACAGTATTGCAGCCCGTCCCCTTCGGCCTCCTGACGGCAGAGACCGTTCCAAAAAGGCGGCAAAGTGTCCCAGAACGAGACCAGGACTCCTCAAAGGCTTCAAGATGCTCCCAAGAGGCCTCAAGAAGCCCCAAGAAGTCCCCAAGAGGCGCCTAAGGATGCTGCCACGCGAGCCCCCAGGCTTCAAATCACAAACGAAAACAGTGAAAATTGCAATTACGTTGCTTCCAATGCTTCTCCAGCTTCAGATCGATACGAGAAAGCTTCAGGGAGCATCCCCAAGGAGCGCCCAAGACGGCCAAAGACGGCCCCAAGAGCGCCTCAACACGGTCCCCAGACGGCCCGAAAATCGCAAGACAGCCGTAGAATAATCCAACATGGTCCAAAGACCCCCAAAATATGCGTGGACGTCCCAAAAACGGTTCGACCGAGCCTCTTACGGAAAGCTCAGTAGAACATTCCCCCAGAGGCCCCCAAGAGGCCCCGAAGAAGCCCCCAAGCACCCTCCAAGACGCAGAAAAAGCTGGCCGAAGCTGCGGACGAAGAGATTGGAATACCCGCGCCAGATCAGACGGGACACCGAACCAACACAAGTCGTAAACTCGACCTCCTTCCCGCTGTGTTGCTGCGCTGCTGTGCGACGAGAACCTGCCGCGGGCAGCTGGATAGCCACCACTCGGCCGCACGCACACAGTAGAGCGTCATCAGTCCCTCAATGATCCTCGACATTGAACACTGTCCGCCACCGTGCCTCTGGGCACGGAGCGGGCGTATCCTCAGGTCTTTCCCGAATCCTCTAAATCCTCGATCATGGAAGTTCTTCAAGGGCCCGGGCATCCCTGA